TTTTTTTAAGTCAACACTGCAGACATCTACAGGCACGTATGGCCTATGCTGGCAGAAAACATGTACTTTGTGCTGAGAAATGATTTCATAATCAAGCTAATGAACATCCCAAATCTGTTTCTACTGGTATCAGAAGTATTATTTTCCTACAATATCCATCAGTAATTATTCACAACAGTATCCATAAAGCCATCTAGGTACCTTAAATACAAACAGAATTTGTTTGGCACATTGAAAAAAACCAAACAAAAAAATCGTAAAAAGTAGAGAATAGATTTTATATATATATATATATATGCATATTGGATATGCATATGCTGTATAAAGCTGTGGTTCCATATGCTATACTTTGGAAAGATAAATTGTTTTACAGCCATGCCATAATGAATACTGTATTAAGTGGGGGGAAAAAAAGAGGAAAACATAAAGCACATACTTCTCCATTTTTAAACTGTGAGTATGGATTTCTTTCTTCCCAAACTAAAGTCTGCCTACTGTTTACTGCTGATGTCTGAAATGAGGCTCAGACAAGTACTCCTGTGTTAGCCAGCCTCCTTCTTCCTTTAGAAGAAACACACCCGTTTACAACCAAAGCTGCATGTTACGACACATCAGTCTTGCGCTGGTCGTCAGTGTCTGCCTTCTTTACCTTCTCTCAGGTGTCGTCACAAGAGCTTTAGAACTGTCTTCCTCTGTTCCCCCTTCCAATTTATATTCATTACCTTTATGTTTCTTTTAATAATTGAAGTCCATGAAAGTATACCTAGCCAAGCTGAGAACTGTCTCTCACCAGACCTTGTAGCTGTGTGAGTTAAATCGTCCAAGAGAAGCAGAGAATGGAAATAAGTTTAGGCCACAAAGTTGAAAAGATTTATGTATGCACTAACCTGAAGCTCTGTGAATAGTCCTGTTGACTTCAGAGGGATTACTTATAGTCCATGAAGTTAAGCAATCTGCGTAAGTGATTGCAAAATTGAAACCTTAGATAGACCGTAATTGGATTTTGAAAAAGGCTCAGAAATTGAATACACAGCTATAAATCACATGTCCTCAAAGAGTTATAAATCACCAAAAAAAATGTTTGAAATATAATTATTTTTCTTAGTAGCTCAGCTGTATGTGGACTAACGAATAGAATAAGATTAATTTTAAATTATTACAGATCATTAAATGTAAAGTCCCTGAAGCATGTCGTATAAGTCAAAAGATATGAATCTTTGAAGGCACCCTTTTATTTACTTTCTTGTTACAACTCCAGCTTCGATAAGTGATTTACCTGCACGACACAGCGCAAGGAAGTTTATCAAATATTAAAGCCAGGTGAAGATCAAAGATATATCCTACAAATATGCCTAATAATTAGGACAGAATCACTATAAAATGAGTGCATTCATTCCCAGCCATATCATGCCAGATATTTAGAGAGGACGTGTACTTCATTTTAATTAGCCGTCTTTTTCACTGTGTTGCTTGGCCAAAGCCTCCCGATAAGGAAAAAAATTGTAGCCATTGTTCAAAATGCTTGTAACAAATCTTGTTTTAAATTGAAGCTATTTATTCAGAAACCAATCTGCTACTGCTGCAGTAATCAATGTGTTTTCCCTTGGAGTAGAACTGTTCCTGTGCTACTGGAGGACTATTGTTAATTGCCTGTAACTAAATGATTGCTGTGCTTCTGGATGTAACTCCTTGGCACTAGCTCGTTTGTTGTGTTTAACAGAATGCCTGTCCCCCTAAGGGTTAGCCGAGTAATTTTCCTCTTTTTTTTCTACATTCAGCCTCAGCTCCTTAAGGAGGGCCAGGTCTCTAATTTGAGCAACGTAACACAGAGGCTAAATAGATTTTAAAAGGTTTGCACTTTTCGTCTCTCCCCTCTGATGTGGAATTGTGCTGAAATTGAATCTTTTTTTGCGTGTAGCCACTGCAGGAAAAACAGATCACACTTCAAAGGGAGTGTAATGCCTGCTGCAGCAACTGCGCTCAAATCGCAATGCAAAAGGCAGAATAAAGCAGCAGAAAAAATTGTTATTGTGAAGGTAACCTTACACTCTAACCTTGCTGTTGTTACACTTTAACTTAGCTTTAACAGTCACTACATCATTGTTGACATTGTTGACATGCACATCACCAACACCCTTGGGTTCACAGAGCACCTTTCAGGAGTACCCTCTCCTACGAAGGAGTCGGAAGCACTCTCCCCAACTCACGTTGGGAAAACCGAGGCACGCACATCCGAAGCGGCTTCAGTTACCCGAGGGACCAGCAGCAGAGGCAGGACCGAGCCTCCCGCTCCTCCTCACACCTTCCGTTCAGCCCAGCACAGGGCGATGCCGTTCACACAATCCCTGCGGCAGCTCCAAGCCAGCCAGTTGCCCCCTTAGGGCACGGTTTAGCATCCTGCAGAAACGCTAACTCAAGGCCTGCAGGCAACCGACTCGGTGTGGTGCTGTGCCCAGGCCGATACGTCCCGCCTTCCGCGGCACCGCACAGATGTGGCCGTCCCACTTCCAGCGCTTCAGGGCTCCGCTCAGGCGTTTGCAGGGCCGGGTGTAAGGATGCAGCAGGCTGCCCGGCTAATCACTGCTCCTCTCTGCCTCTGAGCCCTGACAAACATCACGGGGACAGGGAGCGAACACGTGCTGATAGACATTGTCCAGCACGGAGGAAAATACAACCTTGCTATGCTAGACGGATAGAGCATGAAACTTACCTTGCAAACATATCTGTTTAAGGAAGAGCCACCTTATCCTTGTGTTCATACGTGATC